TCCTACCCACCTAACTGGATCAGCTGGCATTTTAACTTGTTCCTCCACAGAGAGATATGTGTATGTGAGAACAGAAAATGGGGTGAGATTAAGAGCATCAAATGTTCAATTAATTTTATCAACACATTAGCACTGACCTTGAAAAATCCACTTGGAAAAAGCCTGTGGGTAAAAATATTTCTACCATTGTGCAGAAGTTGAAGACATTTTGGCGGCATGAAAATGCACTGAAAGAAAAGATAACTGCCCCACCTTTCATTGCCTCATTGTTATATGTATCTCATAATTCATTTTCTAAATTACATTTCAAGGGAGGGGGAAAAAAGCATGGCCCAAATAATTTTTTTTTTTTGTCTTAACATACGTTCCTTGCTCTGTGATGCTTTCACTTGCCGCCTCAGGCACAATTAAGTGCATGCTCCTGAGAGCTCTCCAAGCACACCGTCCTTCCTTGACTGTATGACTTACTACCTCTGCTATACAGGGGTGTCAGTCATCCTTACACTTAGACTTATCCCAGTGTTTTATACACAATAGTAATTCAAAACAGGTAACTGAAAAAAGAGAAGGAGGAAAAAGGGAAATTTTATTCTCATCTTTTAAGGAAAGAAGAAAGGTGATAATTTTAATTTGATTAAAAAATAATTTAAAAATAGAAACTCAATATGGAGGAATGAACTCTATTTCCTCATCCTTCAGTCTTAAAAAAAGGTTCAAATTATAATTAGGTAACTCTTCCCTATTCCAAGAGAGGGGTGCTGTATAAAACAGCTGGGTATTTCTTTCTTTGTTGGCAGTATTAAAAAATGTTTTGGGATTTTAGGGGCAAGTTAAAATGGGGAAAGTGTTTCCTTTGACTGACCTAGTTTCCTTACCATCTGAGAATTCCTTCCAGACACCAAACCAGAGACTTCTATTTCTAGGCTATCATGGGGATTATGGGAGAAAGAAATTTGGCTACAAAAAGGAAAATAAAAATGAAGTATCAATTATATCACAGAACATTTCATGATGGAAGATTTCATAAAATAATAAATATGTGATTCAAATCTGAATGTCTATTAATATACTGTACCACATTATGAATTGAAGGTGAAAAATCACATGCTAATTTTCTTAAAGTCAGATTAAGCATCTGATGAAATTCACTATCTATAATATCTTAGCAAAATAGGAAAAAGTGTTTATCTAAATCCTACAGAAAATATCATCCTTAATGGTAAAGCTGTTAAAGCAAGGAAGGAAGGAAGATAAGGATGTTAACATCTAGTTGACATTGTATGGGAAGGCTTATCCAAAACAATAAACAAGGCAAAAAACATAGGCAGTAGAACTTAAAAGGAAGACCAATAGTTCTCATTTTCAGACACCACTGTCTATGTAGAAAATTCAAAAGAATTTATAAATTACTATTAGACTAATGGGAAAGTTGGGGAAGTGAAGTTAACTGGATATAGTATCAACATATAAAAATCAAAAACCTAAATGAAATAATGGTTAATTAAAAAATAGAAAAAATAGTCTAGTCAAAATAACATCAAAAGGCATTAGATTTTGAAGTTGCATTTTTGAATATGATGGAGAATTATAAAACATTATTATGGAACATTTTTTAAAAAGGCTTGAAGAGATATATGCTTTTAGATGGGATGACTCGATATTGTAAAGATGTCCCTTCTGCCAAAATTAATCTATGAATTAAATATAATTCCAATAGAAATCCCAACAGAGTTCTTCATGAACTTGACAAACTAATAAAAAAAATTTACTTGACAGTGCAAAGAGTCAAGAAAAGCTAAGCCTGTGTTGAAGAAGAGCAATGTGGGTTTAATAATGGAGACAACGCATGGTCTGGGGCAGGGATGGACAGACTAATGGAACAGAATACAGAGCCCAGAAATAAGCCCATACATACATGTAAACTTCATGTGGGAGGATCATGGAACTACAAATCATCATGGAAAGGATGTTCTTTTCAATCAGTGGTGATGGGACCATTGGCTAGACACATGAACATAAGAATCTGTATTTTTACCATATGCCAGACTTCCAATTTTAGTTAAAAACAAAGCAAAATATTAAGACTTTTAGAAAAAGAGAGTGTATTTATGACCTGAGATAGTAGATAATTTTTAAATACATATCCACATACTATCAAAAGTACATTTATTTGGTGTAGTCAAACTTACAAATTATCCAATTTCTTTTCAAAGACAATGATTAAAGTTAAAAGACAATCTCATACTAGGAGATGATTTGCAACTCACAGAATCCACAAAGATCACTAGCCAAAATTCATCAAAAACTTGTATACAACAATAAGAAAAGAAATATCCTGACAGAAAAATGGACAATAGGTATAAGCCAGAAATTCAAAGAAGAAATCTAAGTGGCCAAGAAACAAGAAAAGGTGCTCATTCTTAATACAGCAGGCAAAAGGTGAAGTAATAGATCCTCTGGTGGACTATTATAGTGCAGTTAAAATCAATGAAGTAGAGCTATAAATCTCAAAAACAGTGTTGAGTGAAAAAAATTGTAAAAGGTTGATACAATTTATGACATGTTTGAAATAAGTGGAAGCATGTTGTATGTTTTAAATAAATACTTCCATAGTCATGGCAACAAAATCATACTTGGGAATGAAACAGCCAGGTTTTGGATAGTAGTTACAGCTGTGCTAGTAAACTGAGCCAGATCACACTGGCTCGCCTGAGCCAATTCTGCACACCTCTTCCTGATTCTGTGTTCAGTGATATCTTGGTAGTAGCTTAAAATTACCTGTGATGGAATGTTTATACCATAGAAATGTGCAAACACTGTAAATCCTAGATTTCCCCCTCCCCTGTCCTCGCCTTGGAGAACTGGTTTCCTAGCACATCACTGTATCATTCTCCACGGAGTGGGATTCAACTGGGAGGGGTATATAAGGGGCTTCCAAACTATTTACAGTGTCCTTATGCTTTAAAGACTTTCTAAAGCAAATCTGGCCCAGGGAAAGGCTTTGACAGAGTAAGGGTGGGTCATGGGTGTGTATCATATTACTCTATGCTTTACTGTATTTTGGAAATATTTCCTGAAAAACAAAATCTAGTCGGCTCAATTTTTCAGGCCAGCATGAAAATGTTTTCTTTTTTCCCACTTTAATTTTACAGATTTAAATCTTGCTCCATTCGTCACAATATTATATTATGTTGAAAAACCTGGACCTCAACTAATAATAGAAACTTTAAAATTATTTCAAGACCCAACCGTAGGTTTACCAGATAGTTATACCTTTGAAATCAACTGATGTAGGGTATATAGTAAAGAATTTGTAAGAGGCATTAACATAAAAAGTCACCTCGGTACTCTTACTTAACTAAATATAAAAGCAAAGACATTTGAGCTCTAAATTTAGAGCCAGATTTAAAAGCAAATAAAATGAATAGACACAAAATAGTACAAATAATTCAACTGTAAAAATTGCGTAAGAAATTTTTAGAAATAAAATAAAATTTTAAATAAAATAAAATAATAATATGATGGAGATTTGACAAAACCAGGTGTTCAAAGAAGGCTCACATATACCACTTTCAGTAGGCAAAGAGAGGTAGGATTTATAATTTGTATTATAGCTGAATCACACAATGACAGGGCATTATAGATTTTTATAATGGGATCTTTTTTTTTAATTTTTAAAAAATTTTGGTATCATTAATATACAATTACATGAGCAATATTGTGGTTACTAGATTCCCCCCATTATCAAGTCCCCACCATATACCCCATTACAGTCACTGTCCATCAATGTAGTAAGATGCTATAGAGTCACTACTCGTATTCTCTGTGCTATACTGCCTTCCCCGTATAATGGGATCTTTTATAATAAAATCATCATCATCACTGGTTCCAAGTATTTCGGAGCTTATCCTCATCTAGCACTGAGTCAGGCACTTGAGGTGTATTATCTCACCAAAGCTTCACAATAACAATGAAGTAGATATTCCTATTATTTCCATCTATTCATTCCACCAAAGTCTGAGTGCCTTCTGTGGGTCAGCACTGTTTAGGCACTTAGGCAGTCACGAAGCAGGACAGATCTCTGCCCTCAGGGAGTGTTGGGTGAGTGGGAGTAAGGGGGAAAGAAAGAATATCTAACCCAATGATAATTGTACATGTTAGAAATCAAGAAAAGTCCAGGAGAGAAAGAAAGAGCAGAATGTGTGTCTAAGGTGTGTGTATAAGCTGGGTACGCTTCACTGAGAAAGGAAGATTTGAGTACAGACTTGAAGTGACAAGGTCAGTTACTCCACTCCATTTAAGGACTTCCCCAAGGATACACACATGGCTCAGCTGAGATGCAAACCCAGATGAGCTGGAAACCACAGCCTGTGCTCAGAACCTGCCTACTACCTGGTCTTCCAAGCGGCATCACAATATATAACATATAACAAAGGATTTGCTTGTTCTCTTTCAGCATCCCTTGTGTCTCATTCACTACGGTAATTTTCTAAGCCCAGAGCTGCTACATAGTAGGTACTTAACACATGTTTGAATCAAATCAGTCATTTTAATTTGAGTTAATATACATTATGATAAAGTCTTTATTGCGTGCCTTCTGTGTCCTGCCCACTTCCCAGGTAGAAAAACTTTGAGAAAACCCAGTGTAGGTGCTGATGCTGCAGCCCAAGCGTGTACGTATTTTTGGATGCCCTGCTCGTGTTGTGTTGTGTTGTGGAAGGAAGATACCAGTTTCGTGTTGTGTTGTGTTGTGGAAGGAAGATACCAGTTTTGTCAAGGCAAACAGGTCTTTCTACGAGGAGGGTGGAGTGGGATGGAGTCTTAAAACGGAGAGCTGTATAGAACAAGGATGCTTCTAGGTAGAAGACCTCATGGCACGATAGCCCACAAAAATTTACGAAGTCAAATCAGGGGTTACAGGTAAAGTTTTCTTGGGCTGTATTCATTTGAGAGAAATTTATAGTATCTATGTGAGAACAATCTTTTGAGTATTAACTTACCTATTGAAGTGGTAGATATCCTGTATATTTCCAAAAAGGGCTGACCTCTCTTCTGTCCCCAGAGGGAGTTTTGATTGGTCGCTGATGCAGTCAAGGTAATCCTGTGAAGTCAATGGGAAGGATGTCTTAAACACTCCTGTCCTTCTTCAAGACATTTTAAGTTAGGCAAGAACAATCTTTCCTACCAGTTTCCAGCAATGCTTATATAAATGTGCTCATTAGCTCTACTACGGAATACAGAGTCTCTCATTTATGGTGATAATACTTACCTATTTGCAGAACAGAGAATTACAGCAAGGAAAAAGAAGATGGTATACATTAATGTATCTACCCCCCAAATGTATTACAGATGGATATTATTTCATGGCCATAGTTATCGATAATGTCAGGGTTTTGGCTTAACAACATCATCTGCTGTTTCCTTGACTGATTTATAAACTAGCAAGATACTCAAGTTTATACAGTGGGAAATCAGAAATATAGATTTGAAATTTCTCATCACAAGAAAAAAAAATTGTTGACCATGTGAAGAGATGGATGTTATCTAATCTGTGGTAAATATTTCATGATCTAAACATAGATCAAATCATCATGTTGTATACCTTAAACTAATACAATATCTAATAAAACTGGGAAAAAAGTGACAGGATTGTTTTAAACATAACCGTTAAGTCAGAAGGCTCTCTGTTGGTAAAGTAAAATTAATTCTTCCCCACATACTAATTAATAAAAAAAAAATCCTTTAAAAAAACCCCACATTACTCACTTACACTAATTGGCTATGTTAAGGAGCCATGGGAAACTTAACCTGATTTTATAAGTTCTAACACAAAACAGAGCTCCCAATCAGAGCTCAAGTGGGCTCAGACCCAGAGTGAGGTAAGTGAGTGTAAGTGGTTTAGAAGCGCTTTGAGCTGCTGAGAGGAGAAAGCCGCCTTCCTCCCTGTGTGCTAAAGAGCTCATAACTGAGTGTTCCCCCACCCCGCAGCAATGCTTGAAAAAGAACACTGTAGGAGGCAAGAAAACAATAAAGGAAACAGTGAAAACAGCTGAAATAACGTAAAATAAAAAACAAATGCAGTCCCCTGCCCTGGGCTGAACAATGTACTATGGCCCTCTACCAAACGTCACACAGCGCTCTGCAGCGTTTGGAGGAAGCACCCCAGTGATAAGCCAGCCAGGCCTTAACAACCCAGCGCTAGAAGCACATTCCAATGTCCAGCCACAAACACAATAGTATTTAGGTGCAACTAGTGAAAGGAGAAACTGAAATTTAAGAACCATCAGTTAATCGCATCTTCTCTTTTAATAAGCCACATTCATTCTCTCAGGCCCTTATGGTCTTCAAATGAAAACAGTCAGGGCTGCATTGTTAACCTTCTCAGTAGCACATTTCACAGACGGCATCAAATAACCCACCAGTCCAGGTCTTTAAGACGCAAATCATTGACGTGCATGAGCCAATGTGCATAACCTGTTTTTTCCCTTTAATAAGCTTTGTGGTAACATCGTTTCTTAAGAAAGTGATCATCTCACTAAGTAATTAGATTCACAAGTGTCACTGGCATCGCCCACCCACACTAGCAAGACCCAACTCCTTACTCTTATGAATGGAGTAATTATAAGGAGCTTAAATATCTGCATATAAAGTTAGTAGCCCAAATAAAAAATGCTAAAGAAGGCTAGAATTGAAATAAGAGTATGTTTTGAACATGTAAACTTAACTTACACTGCCTTAGAAAACATGTATTCTCTGATATTTACATAAAATTCCATGGTACCAAAAGAAGGGCTCATATTTAACTTGCACTGAATGCTTATTTGATTGCTGTTTAATCCTTTGACCACCATTTTAAAGGACACACATACAAAATTAAGAAGGTAAAAAAGAAGTTATAGATGGGTACAAAATTATAAAGTAAAACAGAAGGATATGTATAAGCATGATCCACACCAAAGAGCAAGATGAAGGATGGGACAGAGAGGATGTATACATGCCAAATTCACCTGGCTGCCTGCAGTGGGACTTAACAAGAAAACAAATAATCCTTTTTCACACTTGAAGTGCGAAGCTTGTTCATTTGCAGAAACCTGATACTAAATTCTTCATGTAAGGGAAAGATTGGGTTAAGGGGCTTAAAGAATTTCATCTGGGTTTAGAGACAAAGAACCATGGCCCACTTCCAACAAATGATGGCCCATCTCCAAAGGAAAGAGTTTCAAAGCCCCAGAGTCGGTGGTAGAGAAACTAGGTTTTTAAGGCTGCTTGTTTTTTGAAATTGTTGAGAAAATAGATTGTGGGAGTCAAATTTTTTTAGGCCACTCTAGAAAACAGATCAAAGTCATATGGCCACAACTTGTTACCCCCCACTGATCATAATTAAGTCTTTTAAATTTATACTTTAACTCTAAACCAGTGACTGAAAACTACCACATAGCCTGCCCTGTATTAGCAGCTGTAATCATCTGAAGCCAAAATGAGAGGTTTGAAGCTCAGTGATAACAGTCTATTCTGTGCTCAAATGACAGAGTAAAGACACCAATGAAATTTATTAGAGCCTGTCATGCTGCTTATTAATTTTATTGGCTTGATGTCAGCACCTGTGCCAACCCAGCAGTTAAAAAGAAGGATCAATTTAAAACGTTCGCATTGAGAACAATTATTCTCGGATCAAAGAATTCATTCTACTTTTGGGTGAGAGGGGATGGGATAAACACAAAAAACAACTTTTCACTATTTAAAAAAAATTCTATTATACGATTTTAAACTTTATCTAATGTATTTCTTTTCTAATCAATTTATGTCCTAAAGATCTCCACCATGGTAAGTAAGATTTGTAAACCAGTGTCTTCCTCTCATTAACTTTTTCATTCCTTGTAATGTCTGTTATTGAAAATATCCAAGTCAAGTCTCATGCGCGCTATTTAAAGTGTGGCAAATGGACAAGAGTCAGTTTGCAGACTGTTACTGATTTGCAGCAAGTGAGGAAACCGGCAGTAAGCATGTGGAAGCTTTGATGGCATTTTGACGAAGAAGATCTGTTGAATCTAATGATAAATATGCGTGGCTAACTGGAAACACACACACACACACACACACCACCACCACCACCACCACCACACACACACACACACACCACCACCACCACCACCACCACTATAGATGGTTTGAAAAGCCCTGGTATAGATAACCATCCTGCAGAGATGCTGTGGAATCTGGGACAGAATTCAAATTCAGATTCAAATTCAATGTCCTGGGTAGCTTGTCTAATTTCTCTAAGATGCCCTGAAGGAAGTAATTAATATCTCTTACTTATTCCCCCACCTCCCTCTTCCCCTAAAATAACATCTAAAATGTTTTAAGTGATAACCTGTTTAACATGATAATGAAGAGAGATCATAAGAAGGAAAAGATTGATTTAGAATTGTAGAGTCTATCATTACTTTATATGCCCTCTCTACTCTCCCACGCTTCTCTCTTGTAGATTGTTCCATCATGGAAACAAAGTGAAAAAGGTTCTGTTGCTAAATCCTCTTGCTCACATTTCAAAAGTATACCTAGTGGTTTTATGGTTTGCCCTTTTTGGTCTAGTTTCTGTTGTTAGCACTTCTAAATTCCAAGCCCTTTGATGTAACACCTATGTAAGTGTTTTTGGAGGGAAAAAAAAACCCTTTATTTTGGAAGAAGCATCTTTTTCTGTTCCTCCAACCCCTTTGCCTTTTCTAGAAAGTAGTCATCTGTTTATTCAAAAACCTGCCCTTCAAGTTGTACATATTACATTGGGGCGCTATTGATACTACACTAACTTATGTTTGTACACCAGTTTACAGTTTAAAAGCACACTCACCTTCATTCATACAAACTGTGATCCCCTTTTTTAAGGACATAAAAACATATGCCAATGTCTGTTTTATAAACTAGGAATTTAAAAAATGAATAAAATATGAGCCCTTCCCACAAATAGTCCCTGTGTAGTTGAAAGACAAATGTAAACAAATAAGCACGATACAGTGTTTAGGCCACACAAGTGATAAATACTCAGCTCACAGCGAAAGATGTAGCGAACGAAGTGGTCAAATCCAGGGCAGAAGGGGGGCATCAGAGACGTGATGGGGGCGCTGAGTCTTTGAGGATGACCAGCAGTCTGAGTACACATAAAGGAATAGGAAGAAGATGGCAATATCCAGAAAGATGAGAAAAATAAATTAATAAATTAAAAAACCGAGGCATAGGGTAACGAGTTTAGGCGTAGTCAGGACATGGATAGGAGTGGGGACGGATGAGAATAGGGTGTGCGCCTGCGCACAGATCCTGAGGGCGGGGCGCCCCGTGGGCGGGGTTGGGAGGGTGTGGCTGATGATGGATCCTCTCCATGCTCTATAAGCAGCACCCATGAAGGATGTGAGGAGACCAAAGACACCCCAGAATCAATAAAAAAAACAGAACCAAGGTATAAAACTGCGGGTGGGGAGGCCAGTTGGACCAGCCCAGTCCTCAACACTGTCCACGGGGTGAGCCTCGTTACTGGATGTGGAGAGAGAAGAGAGCCAGTCCAGGGTGAGAGTCGGGGCTTAAGGATTGCGGGGTGCTGGCTTTCAGAAGACGGCCTGGTCTCCCCTCTTCCTGAGGAGCGGGGGTGCTGTTCCCAGAGCTCCCAGGGAGAACACTTTCTCATCCACCTTGGCAGCAAGCAATTCAAAAGGCGGTGAGCTCACATCCTGGTCTCCTGGTTCGCTTGGCTGCAGCAGGGAGAGCTGGGCTGCTTCCTCTGCGGAGAAGGACCCGCCGACTTTGACCTTCTTTCAGATTCCTTCCGGGGAGGCTGGTGAGGTAAGACAGGCTCCTGCTGAGCCTGCAGGGGCCTCCAAACGGCCAACGTAGGCCTTGCTGGCTCCCTGGGACCCTCTGTACTGGACTTCCTCACACCCAGATATTTACACACTTCTGCGGTAAGACGGAGACAAGGTTCACCTTTTGGCATAGCACATCTACACACGGGGTCTTCCTGGGACTTGGGCTTGCTCACCCTGTACTTGTTAGAGGAAGCTCTGAGAAGAAATACGGTTTCCTTTCCCAGGCATTGCCCCTGCACACACAGTG